CTGCCACTGAAACAGTGCACAGAGCTCTTCCCTCCTGCCTCATCAAGAGACCAAAGTGTGTACATCCCAAGGGAGCACACAGGAACGTAGCAGAAGAGAGCATTTGGAATAAATAATTCACAGTCTCGCTATTATATTCCTTGTGTGGTGATGGAGAGGTTGAATTTTTAGCGAGAAGAAAGAGGGAACAAAGCCTAAAAAAATTGAGGTTAAAACACGAAGTCATCTGCATTTACGCTCGGCAGCAGCAGCAGTGATGGATACTCAGAGCCTGTTTCCTGTTTAATTTTTGATGCAAAGTCACTGGGGAGTCATTCTCCTTCACTTTCAATTTCAGGGGTCCTGAAACCTTGCCTTCCTCCGAGGTAATAACCTGGGCTTTCTGTTCTGGGGCGGGCGCCGCTCCCTGATTGATAAGCGCAGATGGAGGCTGTGCGGACTTGGCCGGCTTTCCTCCAGCCCACTTCCTGGGCGCCCGCCATCTCAGCGCTGTTTCCTGAAAACCCAGCTCTTGCCTGGATGACATGTTTTCCAGGCGAGTGACGCACCAGAGCAGCCAAGAGCTTAGAAAGTCCCTCTGCCCCCAGCTGCCGGAGGGAGGAGCCCGGTCACAGCTAATCACAGCCTCCTCCCCTCAGACCTGCCCTCCAGCACTCCAGCCCTGCTCCCCAGGCAGCCTGACTGCACGACTGCTGTGGGAGGTGCTAATCCAGACACCTTCCCGGTCCCCTCCCACCCTCTGCCGTTGTGCAGTGCCAAACCTGCTGGTGCTGGCTGCTCCCGAAGCCCACCACCGTGGTCTCTCTGTGTACATAGGACCCACCCTCTCACTTGCCTTCAGCTGGGAATCCCAAATTAGAGCTGCAAGTTTGTGTTGATTTTATCCTAGAAAATGCAGCCGGTTTTAATCAACAGATAAATGCTCATTAGAGAATACCATTGCTCTGCTGTTTAAAAGGTGGCCGTGCAGGCCTCGCACAGTGGCTCACCCCTGTAATCCCAGCACTTTGGGAGGCCAAGGTGGGCAGGTCACTTGAGGTCAGGAGTTCGAGACCAGCCTGACCAATGTGGTGAAACCTCGTCTCTACTAAAAATACAAAAATTAGCCAGGCATGTGGTGCATGCCTGTAATCCCAGCTACTCAGGAGACTGAGGGAGGAGAATTGCTTGAACCTGGGAGGCGGAGGTTGCAGTGAGCCGAGATCACGCCACTGTACTCCAGCATGAGTGACAAAGTGAGACTCAGTCTCAAAAAAGGGGAAAAAAAAGATTGCCATGCAATTTTAGAATTTAATGAGAGCTCTGAGTTCATCTAATCTGATTCTTTCCTTTGGTTAATAAATAAACAAACCACCAAGGCCCAGAGAGGGCCTCTGTCTTGCTCAGCAGGCTGCGCAGGGTACCGGCTCCTCCCAGAACTCCTGTCTTCCCTGCCTTGCTCTGAGTGGGGCTGTCAGTAGGGCCAGGGCCAGGCCCAGGCGCGGCGTGAGGTTCAGAGCAGCTGCCCTGGGTGCTGACAGTCGAGCTCCAGCGTTTGTCTTGCAGCAGTCTGTAGGTTCTTTACATCTTTCTTCTCATTAGTACTTGAACAGAGTCCTTTTCCTCCTCTCCTGTAGACAGCTCTGAGTCCACGGCCCAGAGCAGCCTGCATGCAACGTCCCGCACCCTGAGCCACGGCCCCCGCGCCTGGGCTCTGCTCATCCCCTCAGCCTCCTCTGAGCCTCTGTGTGTCCGTGAAACCAGACCATCCAGGGCTGCTTTTCTGGTCTGTGAAATGTGGAGCTGGGTCAGTCCCCGCCTCCCACCCCCGGCTGGATCCAGGTGGGCTCTCAGCCTTCCAGGAGCCCAGCGGCCCGCTGCAGCGACATGGGTCACACGTCCGAGCAGGATTGCCACCGGTGGCTCTGACACAGCTTCCCTGGGCAGTACTCTGTCCCGAATGCCGAGTGATGTCTCCAGCGCAGGTCAGGCCTTCAACACCAAGCTAGGGCCTTGGAGAGCATGCGGGTAGGCTTTACGGGAGGTGCTGACCGAGGCCACGCCAGGCGCCACGCTGGGCCCCTTGGCCGATGGCCCGAACGCCCTCTCTGTCCTCTGCTCGTTTCCTCCTCCCCTAACTTGTACACAGTTTCTTCTAACTTCTGAAGCAGAATCTTTTTATTTGATTAAATTCAAGGAATCTTCATAGAGTTTAATTGCAGTAATTGACTTTGCTTCTGTCTTAACCAAGAGTAAAATCTCCCTCAATGCCGCTGAATGCCATTTGCCTGCAGCCTGGGGATTTATTGGGCATACGGGAGCTATTTACCGCACGGGCTTTGAGACACTTTTGATGATCTGCTGATTGCTTCTTAACTATATTGGCAGGGGAAGGGCGCGTTTGTGCAGAGGGCAGTCTTGGGAAAGTGAAGTATATTTCATATCCTTGAAAGCGTAAAAGTGTTCTTTCATCCCTTTGTTCATCTTAAATTTTTACTCTTTTTCTGGATTTTAACATTTTTCATTGTCGTTTTGGTCCTTTACTAAGACATCAAGAAAATATGCCCTTTGACATGGCAGCACAGAGTGTCATTAGCCAACAAACTAACACGGGGTCCTCAAGTCTCTTAGGAAATTACTCAGGAGAAGAGATGGCAGAGCTAGAAGCAGGAAGCATTATACTGATCATCACTGGGTTTCCTCAAGGAACGCATTTCTACGAGAAAGGGAGGGTAGGGCTGAAGGAATCGGTGTCCTCCCTCCATCCCTGCCATGAGGGTTGAGCGCCCCTAATTCAGAAAACCAGAACGTTCCAAAACCCAAAACTGTGAGGGCCACCATGCTGCGGCGAGTGGACAATCCCCCTCCCCGACCTCGCATGCACAAACTTTGTTTCATCCACAAAATTATTGTGTGGAATTGGCTTCAGGCCGTGTGTGTAAGAGGTATATGGAATAATATTGTGTGGAATTGGCTTCAGGCCGTGTGTGTAAGAGGTATATGAAATATTATTGTGTAGAATTGGCTTCAGGCCGTGTGTGTAAGAGGTATATGGACCATAAATGGAGTTTGTTCTTTGACTTGGGTCCCGTCCCCATGATATCTCATTATGTATGTGCAAATATTCCAAAGGTAAAAAAAATCAGGAATCTAAAACACTTTCTGTCCCAGGCATTTTGAAAAAGGGATACTTAGCCTGAATCGTGGAAATTAAGACTCGCTCTGTGACCGTACAGAGAGTGAAGTGATGATTCCCTTCCAGTTTAGGGTTCGTGTTGGCTGTTGTGGCCATGGGGGACAGCAGCTGCCACTGACCAACACCCGCTTTGTGTCAGCCACTCTACAAGGACCCTGTGAGGGAGACACGATCATGACCCCATTTCACAGATGGTGAAATGGACCCTGGAGAGACACAGCCACGCGCCCAAGGCGCCAGAGCCACATGCTGAATTTCACCAAGCGGCCTCCCACGGGCCCCCTGGCCAGGCCCTGGTCCTCTGGACGAGGCGGCGAGGCAGGCAGGTCAGCCGCTCCCTGGGCCAGAGCTGGTGGACAACAGAGCCGGGAGCAGAGCCCAGTATCATGGCTCACAGTCAGACCTTCTCTTCTCCCCTCTCTCCCTTTCACATCTCATCCTGGGCTGCTCATGCACAGAGCATGCATTCCTGCTTGCCTGCACTCTCATTCCGCCAGTGTGTGTTGAAAGCCTGCCGCATGCCTGGCACTGGGAAGGAAGTACTGCTGGATGCCAGGGCACCTGTGGGATGCCTGTAAGACAGGGCTGGAGATGTTGGAGATGCCAGGGTGTGCCCGGCCTGGGGTACCACAGAAAGGCTTAGGAGTGCCATGTTACAGCCTCCGAGAAAGCTCACAGGGCAGCTGGCCTGAAGGGAGGTGCCAGCAAAGGGGCCTATTGGGAGGAGGCTGTCCTAACAGCCCCAGTGGGCAACACCAAGGCTCTAGCAGGGCCACGTTAGGAAGGTGGTGATGGTGCTGGGGAGCCCGGTAAGGCTGTTGCCTACACCTGGGAATTCCAGGACCGGCCCAGAGGTGTTAAGTCCAATTCAGACTGCCTGCTGGTCCTACAATAGAATCAGGGTGTGGAAGCCACCTAAATCATCCCCATTGGGGGTGCGTGAGTGAAAAACCAAACGCAAAAGGCCATCTTGACGCAGGAATAAGACACAGGCACCTGCTGGGCACCAGGGACTCGGGCCGTGTTTTCTGGAATGGAGCCTGCCAGGCGCGGCCAGGTGCCCTGTGGAGGAGTGGCTCCCGTTTTCTGTGCGTTGAGACAGGTCTCGATGCCGTGGGAAACTGGTGACCGTGGCCGAGTCCACTTCTGAGGGACTGTTGCCTGTCACCCCGAACAAGCCCTGCTGGTCTTGTCCTCGAGGGTAGAATCACATCTCCAAGTGCTTTGTGAGGTCACCAGCACACCCTGGCCTTCAGGAGCCCAGGTCCAGACCACTCGGGCATGGGGGTCTTGGGGCTGACAGCAGCATCACAGCGCAGGGCTCAGCCCTGACTGCCAGGACGCCCTTCCACGGCCTCACACTGACCCCTCCTGAGGAGGCACTCTGGCTGGCCCTGGTGTCTCTCCCACCTTCCTCTGGGACGCTGTCCTCTCAGAGCCTCCGTGGGGACCACACGGAACGCATGGGCTGCCGCTAGATGGGCTCAAGGCACAGTCAGAAACCACAGCAGAAAATGGGAAGCATTCCTTTGTTTTTCCCAGGCTTTTTTCTCGTTTTATTTTAAAGAGAAAAAATGTGACAAACAAAATGGTGAGAACGCTGGCAGCACCAACCCCCGGTCTCCACCCTCCTGGCCGCCCCTCGGACGTCCTCTGTAGCCTAAATCCGAACAACAGCGAAACTATAAACATGCCCCCACCAGCACCCATGGCCTCTGCCCCGACCCTGCTACGCAGGCTGAGCCGGCTCCTGTGCCCTGCGAAGTGCCCTCTGGTGGGAGCCCATCCGTCATGCTCAGTGGGTGTTCCTCTGTTCTCTCCGCAGGCAGGCCTGGGACCTGGCTGTCGACATCTGTCTGTCTCAGCTGCCAACGATCATCGAGGAGGGCACCGCGTTCAGGGTGAGTCCCTCCCAGGGCATCCTGCACATCTGTGGTGGCGGCTACTTCTCTGGGCACCCGGACTGCACAGCCCCCAGGCTGGGAGTGGTCCCAGGACCCTGGAGTGTCAGATATTTTGTTCACCAGCCTGGAAAAAATGTAGTTGCCAGAGTTTAAAACGTCGAGTCAACCAGGGGTTAAAGGTAGACTTTGAAAGAATCACCATTTAAAATGGTTCCGTCTCAAAATGTTGCTATTACCGATCTGCTTTTCTGAACGCAGGTTCACTGCCTGTGAGTGGTGATCGCGTTACATGAAAATAGCCTTTCACCACGAATGCAGTGTGGATCTCCCCGAGTCCTCTGACTCTCAGCCCCGTGGGGCAGTGACCCGAGGAGGGTTTGGTGCTGAGCCCTGGGGGGGCGTCCAACCCCTGGCTGCACTGCACGGGCGCTGGAGAGCTGAGCTCCCCTAGGCTGGAATCTTGTTTTCCTCCCAGCAGCTGTAAGCAAGGGTGACCCTGGGCTTTGCAGCAGCTCCCCAGGACCCCCTTGTGATTTCTTCATGAGCTTTTGCCTTATGTGAGGCATCGAGTCTGAAAATAGATGAATAAGACAGAGGCCTGCCCCCTAGGAACCTGTGAGGAAAGAGGAGCCCGTCACATCCGTGAAGAATGCAAGGGAGGAATGGGCAGAGGGCGCGGCAGTCACGGGAGGCCAGGGATGGAGGGGGTGGCAGCCTGGCCAAGGCAGGGGGGACGAGCCTCCCCACCTCCCGCTGCTGCCACGCCTGAGACAACACCATGTCGAGCCTGAGAGCCACGGGGACCACACGGAACGCATAACTGCCACCGAGGGCAGGTTTGGTGGCCTCCTGTGTCTCAGTCTCCTCACTTAAGGGGGGATTATGGTGGTATCCAACATCAGGAGCACTGGGAGGACAAAGTGAGTTAATGTGGGAAAGCGCTTTGGATGGAGCCCAGCACAGGGCCCTTGTGAACTCGTGCAGGCCGCTGCCCCAAAGACGCTGTCACTGATGCCAGGGCGTCGCCCTCCAGCCCCGGGCAGAGGCACTGATGGTCAGGAAGGGCTCCGTCCACTGCGCAGACTGTGACTTGTAGTGCACATCACGGTCGTCCGGGGCCTGGGTGTGGCTGATGTACATGTGTGGGATCTTTTAACTCCTCGGATGATTTGGACCTGCTGCCAAGGCTGGGGTGACTGGGAAAACGGCCTTTTAAGAGGACGTCCTTCTCCTTTATAACCATCTAGTACCCTCCCCTTATTGATCAGTTTTTTTGGTAACATTTGATTGTGAAAATTTTCAAACCTAGAGCACAGTTGAAAGAAATTTACGGTGAGCACCCACACCCAGCACTTATTCCTCCTCCGTCTTTGTGTTCTTGCGTCCTCAAGGGCATTGCAGACTGCCCTGCGATTAAACCGCGAGGCCGAATCCAGCTCCCCCCATGTGCTTGGCATCAACATTGGGCTTCTAGATAAAGGCCTTCCCCCCCTCCCTGCTGGACCACAAACCTTGGGGGAAGGACAGGGTCTCCCGCAGAGCGGCCGGATGCCTGCGCTCTTCCGAAGCGCTCTGGGCCTGTTGCCGCGAACAGATATTTGGAAATCTTCCTGAAAATGGCCTTTTTGTACTCTGAGCGAGGCTTCACTGGGTACTTGTAGGAGATCAGAACGATCTGCTTTTATATAAAATAATGCAGTTTCTATTTGCATGTGTGCTCTTTCTAAAGGAATACTTCTGTTTCTGTGCCAGGCATCTTTGCCAAGTATCTTTTCAAGGATTTTACTCTATCATTTCTAACACACTAGAATTAATATTCTGCATTTGGGAATGATTTCACCATGTTGGGGTGTCAGGACAAGGTGGGGGTAACTGACGTGGACCACACACTGGGTTATTTCTGTTTTTATCTTATTGGAGCTACCACATACATACAGAAAAGTGTACACGTCATGCTTTTACAGTTCGGTGGATGTTTCAAGCGGAACATACTCGCGTAACGACACCCAAGCCCAGCAGCGCCCGCGAGCCCCCTCCGCGCCCCCCCAGCTCCTCCCTTCCCCCCACAGTGGCCGCCCTCCTGCTTGGCGGTGTGCTTGGGTCCACGGAGTCACTCACGCAGGACGCAGTCTCTGTGTCTGCCTGCCGTCACTCAGCGTGGCTTGAGTCAGCTCACTCTTACTGCAGGGTGAACACCGTCGTCTGAGTGTGCCAGCACTCATGTGTCCCTTCCAGGCCACTGGGCGTTTTCAGTTTCCAGTTTTCAGCCCTCACTGGCAGTGCTGGCTAGGGCCAGACCGTCGCAGCAGAGCCTGAGACAAAAGGCAATTCTGTGATCCTCATCACAGAAATGTCGGTATCTTGTTTGTTATGGATTTTTGTATTAATTTTTATCTTTGAAAACATTGCTCTGAAATATTATGTGTGTTTATGACTGATTTTTTTTGGCCTCCCCTTCCTGGCCGTCCTCCCATTCAGGGGCTGGCCCCTCCTGCACATTTCTGGGAGTGATGCTTCGGGGTCCCGGGTTTGCCCATACTCAGCTTTAACAGATACTGCCAGAGATTCTGCCAAGTGGCGGGGGCAGCTTTCACCCCTGCCTGCAGCATGCGAGAATTTTCGTTCCTGTTTCTTTATTTGGCTATGATGGTTCAGTATGAAAAGCTATTTCCTTGAGAGCTAATCGTGTATTTCCCTGATGGTTAGTGGAGCAGCGTTTCATGTTTTTATTGGCCCTTTGACGGTCTTCTTTTGTAAATTGTTTAAGGCTTTTGGCCGTTTTTCCTTCGTGTTGTCTGTTACTCACCTGCTGTGGTTCTGTGTCTGCTCCAAAGACAGATCATCTGTCCCGTTATCACCAATAACTTCTTTCACTCTGTGGACTTTCACTTTTACATGTTTTTTTTCTTGATGAACAGAAACGCGTTATTTTAACGACGTCTAATTAGTCAAATCTTTGTCCCTTATGGTTCCGGCTTTTGGTGTCCTGTTTGATGGAACCCTTGTTTCCTCTGAGATGGGCATTCTGAGAAGATGTTCTGCTAGCAGGCTGTGTGTTTCCCTTCACATCTGGACCTGCATCTTCTCCCAGGTCACGTCCCCCATGAATGCTCAGCTTACTGCTGGTGTTTGTACCAAGGACCGTATAGACATGGTCGCCTCTGTTTCCTCGTTTGCACCAAGGACCGTGTCCCTGTGGCTGCCTCTGTTTCCTCGTTTGCACCGAGGACCATGTAGACGTGGCTACCTCTGTTTCCTTGTTTGCGCCGAGGACCGTGTCCGCGTGGCTGCCTCTGTTCTTTTGCTTGTCCCTTTGCTCACTTGGTCCTTGCACCAGGACTGTGATGACAAGCTCTATATGACACTTTCTCAACTGGTGGCCTGCAACTTCACCTCTTTCCCGAGGTTGCCTTGGTCACTTTCGGTCCTTTGCATTTCCATGTGAATTTGACATTCAGTGTGTCAATTTCTGCAACGAACCTACTGGATTCCATTGAGATTATAATTAATCTACAGATCGATTTGGGAGAAGTCACCACCTCTACAGTATTGAGCCTTCTCCCTCAAAATGGTTGTAAGTGGTATCGTTTAAAATTGCATTTTCTGATTTCTGTCTATTAACAGTGACATAGAACCCTATCAAAATTGGGATTTTGGGGGACTGAGGCAGGAGAATTGCTTGAACCCGGGAGGCAGAGGTTGCAGTGAACCAAGACCGCGCCACTGCACAGCAGCCTCAGCAACAGAATGAGACTCTGTCTCAAAAAAGAAAAAAAAACTGGGTATATTGGGGTAGGAAGAGAAGCCAGAAGGATTCCCCTGCAGTGGGAGGCTTGGGACAATTGACTTTCTTGGGGGTATTAAAAAGAACCCTTCTGCAAAATGAGCAGCTGTACAGAGGGGTGGAATAGACGAGCGACAGAATGTTCATACAGGCCATACAGAGGGGAGAGCATCCATACGGAGCCGTACAGAGGGGACAGCGTCCACACGGAGCCGTACAGAGGGGACAGCGTCCACACAGGGCCGTACAAGGGGACAGCGTCCACACGGGGCCGTACAGAGGGGACAGCATCCACACGGGGCCGTACAGAGGGGACAGCATCCACACACAGTCGTACAGAGCGGACAGCGTCCACACGGGGCCGTACAGAGGGGACAGCGTCCACACGGGGCCGTACAGAGGGGACAGCGTCCACACGG